ATCCAGGGTGATCCAGTGTATGTGAACAGTGAGATGTTTGGGCGCTGAAGTCGCCATAGCCAATTGAGAGTGAACTCGTATCTGAAAGCCATATCTCTGAGTTTTGAGTGGGCACATGTAGCCAGTATGCTGCATTGCTGTTTACATGCATGAAAAGTGTGTTTGAAAACGAGTCTGATTGCACCTGGACTCGGACTGCATGGACTGGTACCCGCCTAGACCTAGCCTACCGCTACTGGGCCTCAAAAAATGCCAACTTTGTCTTCTTCTGCTCGGCCTCGAGTACCAGGCACATCTACTTCTATTGGGTGCGGTACTGGTCTACCTGCTACTTGAGTGTTTTTCTGCTGCTCTAAGTGTCGCGGGCCTCTTGCTCCGCCACTTGAGTGTTTTCCCTGCTGCAACCCTCAATGTCACGGCCACAGGTAAGTACTGGCCCTACGGGCCTCCCAAACAAGCAAGTACCCTTGCGGGTCACACACACACCCTCACGTCGACAAGCACTCAGACAGGCACGCAGGTCACCAAGCACGCACACACAGACCTAGAAAACTCAGCGGAATGCGGGAATCTCAGCAAGGCATCCATTCCATCGGCAGAACTCAGAAATCAGCAGTGTTCTCGGTCCGTGTTATGGCGGGTCATTACAACTCCTAAAAAATCGGGGGCTGGGCCCGTCGACAGTCGGCGGCCGCTGTTGATAAATCTCATCGGCGGCCAATGTTTCGTTTCGGCCTCCTAAAAGATTGGAGGCCCACCCGAGGCCGACATGGAAAAGGTAGTGGTGGTTTAACGTAGCAGCTAGGACGGCAGCACACATCTACAAGAGGGAGAGGAAAACCAGTTAGAGCCTAGGCCTTAACCAAGTGTGCAGTTATCAAAGTGGACGAGGTGTAGAGGTTTACAAGACCAGGGCAAAGGACCTAAAAAACAGTCCTTGTGAGCATGGAAAATCTGACAGCGTAGAAGCTGAGAGGAATAGGATGGTTGAGGTCCAAGTAGGCAAAATGCAAAAACTAGAGAGTAAGGATAAGAGCAGATCTCAGTAGAACAGGCGGACTTAGGCAGGGGTGAAGGGAACTAATCAATGCTGTCCTTCAGTCCTCCACGCCATAAGGGGGAGGAGCATGAGTGAGTACTTACTGTAATCCTTTCTGACTTGCTGGTGGAAAAGGTACCGGACTGATGCTCCCCAGAATGGAAAAGGAGTCCGAACCCTACTGATTTATAAAAAAGAAAAAAAAAGAAAAAAGAAGGAAACCGGACTGACGCTCCCCAGAATGGCTATGGAGCCGGGCACCCTGTTTACATAAAAAAAAAAGGAAAGGGAAACTCTCCAAAAAGCTATTAGAGCACGGCCCTGAGTTTTTCATCAGCATAGTCATGATATGTCATTTTGAGTTCATATTCCATTTCTTTTTGCTTTTGTTGTTGATGACAACTCCGCCAGGTTATTATCATCCGAATGTGCCCATTTGATGGTCATGTTAGATGGGCTTCGCTCGGGCTTCACTCCTGCTGAAAGAACGTAGTGGGGTTCATTTTCTTTGTGATTCGCTGTCTTTTCTTTTTCCACAGAAGGATTCCGCTTGGGAACATTCTGCTGATTGTGCATGTAAGAAACAGCACCACAAATGAGCGGCTGCTTCCTGCGCACGTGGTCGTCGAGGTCAATGGCACTCGTCTGCCATCACACAGCTTCTCAGGTGAGTTACAGACGAAAGCAACATACGCCATGAATTGTGTTTTTGCTGTTGTTGTTCTTTCCATGTAATTCAAAGCTATTCTATTTATACGAGTCCATGAGGATTCCAATTCTGGCTTGTTTATCAACAGTCCATGTGTGGACCATTCAACCATACGGGCTGTGTGACTTGTGAACTTCCTCGTTTAAAGATTTTTGAATGCGGCAGGGGGGGGTTCAGTTTCATTTTTCAACAGAAACAGGTCGCCGTCAGCGGAACTGTTGGCGGCCTTAGTGGCCCAACTCCTGAGTGTCAGTACTCTTTGCGGAGACAGTGATCTGGAATCAAGGACATACACAATGGACGTGGACAGGTTCTACATGAGCGATTTCTCTAAGGATGACATGGAAGAATGGCAAGCACAAGAGGAAGACAGCAGTCCAAAAATAACCCGGTCCTCAGATCAGGGATTCAGTGCAAGCATTGGAGAATACAAGATAGCACGACAACAAAAACACAGCAGGACCCGCCAGACGACGACACATCTCCCATGGAGGCAACCGATCCGGATCCGTCATGGATAACTCACTCCCATCATTCCAGATACCCAACCTCCCAACCCTCCAATGTTAGAGATTTTTAGGAACAAGGCTAATTCAGAAGAGGACGGGGTCAACTGGAAGACTCAAGGAATAGTTTTCAGGAGCTGGAACATTAATGGATTAGGCAATGTACTAGACAAAGAAGAGAAGATGAACGACATAATTAAAAGACTGACAGTCCATCCAAACAAGCCAGCAAATATAATTTTGTTGCAAGAGACCCGTCTGACCGTATCAATCGAACATACTAAAATTTGCAGAGCATTGGCCAAGAAGCTAGGAGGAATCAAAGATGAAATATGGTCATTCGATAACACATCGAGCACAAGGGGACAACCATCCTCACACCTAAATCCTCCCGCTTTTGTACGACAGGCTCTGTAGTAAATATGGAGCAGATACATCAGAGGGAAGATGGTGCCTCGTGGATTTAAGATGGAAGGAAGAAAAATTCAGGGTAATCAACCACTATGGACCCAACGGCTCTTATGAAAGATCCTCATTTATAACAGGTTTGGGTAGTCTGATCATATCACCCTGCATCCTAGCAGGAGACTGAAATGCCACACTAGACCTTGCCACCGACCGGATCTCCAAATCAACAACCTGCCAATCCACAAAAAAAGAAGCTTTCATCCAGAATTTGATGTTGGATCATAATCTGGTGTAGCCATACCACACTTCACATCCGGGTGAAAGAGCCTTCACATTGGTGAAAAAGAACCACGCCCAGCACATTGTCTTCTCCTTCATAGATTACTTCATCCTATCAGACATATTAATGGGTACAACCAAACACACAGAGATTCTCCCCCTTCAACCGTACCTAGGATTAGACCACAAACCCGTTGAACTCATCCCCAACTTCGAACAATATGGAAAGAAAGGATCCAACTTCCATAAATTGAACAACTCTCTCTTACTAAATCAAGTTTTCCAAATTGGGGTCCTAGACCGCTGGCAGAATGTGAAGGGCAGCTACCTGCCCACCCACGATGGGTGGCAATGGTTTCAAGAAATTTATTCTACCCTATCACAAATAGTAGCCATGATGTCAAGGAAACTGGCAAACAACAAAAAACAGAGCAAAATTGCATTGAAAACGGCCCTAAAAATCGTTGAGTCAAACCTAGTTGACAACCCCTCCTCCCCTCTCTACACTGACATTTTCCATAAAGCTAGAGAAAAATTATCCATGTGGCATTGGTGGAAATTGAAGGGCCTACAAATAAGAGCAAGAATGAATGAATATGAACTGAGTGAGACAATGTCAAAGCATTTCTTCGCAAGGATCAAAGCAAATTCAAGGACCAATCCAATAGAAGGCTTGAAGACACTCTCCGACCCAGCTGTAACGCTAACGGACAGCAAAGGAATGTTAAACATAACCAAAGAGTTCTACAAGGAGCTCTATCAAACAAAGACCCCGACTCCTACCGCTCCAACCACGAGGGAGGCCAGATCTAGGTTTACACCAAGAGAGCCAGCGGTTCAAGTCCGTTATTACCGAGATGGGAAAATAGCTTAGTTGGTTAGAGTGCTGGTCTGTCACGCCAGAAGTCGCGGGTTCAAATCCCGTTTTTCCCGGGAGGTATGGCTGAGTGGCTGAAGGCATTGGTTTGCTAAATCAACATACAACAAGATTGTATCATGGGTTCAAATCCCATTTCCTCCGTTYCGTCGGGGGCGTAGTTCAAGTGGTAGAACGCATGTTTTGCAAGTATGAAGTTATCGGTTCAAKTCCGATCGTCTCCAATTTCCCCGTGAGCCCACGTAGCTCAGGTGGTAGAGCATTCCCTTGGTAAGGGAAAGGCCTCCGGTTCAAGTCCGGTCGTAGGCTCCGTCTTAAATTAAAAAAGAKATATATATATGGCTAAAACCAAACAAATAAAAAAATTTGATGCTTCAATACCTTGACAAAACGATATCACAAGAACAAGCAGAGGCTCTGGACAAACCCATCACTCTGGGCGCACTCCAAAGCATGAATAACAACAAAATGTCTGGAATCGATGGCTTAACAAAATAATTATGGGAGAAGTCTGGCCACTCCTCGGGGGCGACCTGATAATTTCTACCAGGATAGCTGGCACAAAGGTGGGTTGGGGAACCTGCTGAGCAGCAGCGTCGTAACACCACTGTACAAAAAGGGGGAGAAAGAAGACAAGGAATTACAGACCTATCTCCTTTCTTACACTGCCCTACAAAATCCTGGCCAAAGCCCTGGCCTTCAGGATACTAGACCTCCGTGACAAGTGCTTCCACATAGACCAGACAAGTCTCATCCCAGGGAGGTACATTGTGGACAACGTACTCACTCTTAATGAAGCGACCAACAAAGTAAGAGTAAAAAGGATCAACACAACAATACTGTTTTTTTACTTTGAAAGGCATATGACCAGGTTAACTGGGCTTTTCTGAACTAGAGTATGGAAAAGATGGGAGTGGGGTCGGACTTCAGAAAATGGGTACGCATCCTCTATAATGACGCCGTGGGATGTGTACAAGTCAATGGCCTGCTGTTAGACTGTTACCCTATTTCTCGCTCAGTTCGCTAAGGAGACCGACTAGCTCCTCCAATCTTCTTGTTCGTCATGGAAGTAATAGCCTCCTTCCTACGGAAAGATCCCTCTATCCACATGCTACCAGAAGTTAATGCAGTGCGCTCCAGATGGCCCAGAATGTGTTGACCAAACAAATTAACAAATTGGGAAGGTTTACTTCCCTACTTGGGCGAGCACTAACCATCAACACGTTTGTCTTCTGTATGATGTGGTACATAGCTTCAATCTGGACAGTGCCAGACAAATCAATAACACATTTACTTCCCTACTCGGGCGAGCACTGACCATCAACATGTCTGTCTTCTGTATGATGTGGTACATAGCTTCAATCCGGACAGTGCCAGACAAATCAATCAACGAACTGACTCGTAAAGCAAGAGCCTATCTCTGGTCATGGGACCCCAACAAAATTAACTGCATACCAAAGATAGCATGGCACTATATCACAAGGAAACCCACCAAAGGAGGTCTGGGCATCAAAGACCCCAAACAAGAAACCAAGGCACTCCAAATCAAATGGATCATCAAGCTTCTCACCAAACCTGGCACAACTTGGAATAAATTAGCACTGGATAGCATCAGAAGCCTAGCCCCGGTACCTACACCAGCAAACATGTCTGGCTTGTTCTGGGTGATGAACAAGGAATGGAACCTGAAAACAGGATGCTGAAACCATTGACTAGGGGCCAATCCTCAGGTAGCTACCCGCCCACACCCTATTGGGCAGCTCTGCTACGGATCTGGCAGGAAATCATGCCCAAAAAAAAGGGCAAACCTAGCACCAGGGAAGAAGTCATCTGGCAACCCCTCTTTGGTAAGCTGTGGGTGAGAGACAAAAGTGACCACTCGCTGTCTCTTAAACCAAGAGATATGTGTTGGCTATCATGGATAAAACATGGAGTATGGAAGATCGCTCACTTATGGGATGAAGAGAGAAATGACTGGGTAACAGACCAGGATCTTCTCCCTCGTCTCAAGGGCTGTCACCAGAGAGATAGGAATCTGCAGACAGTCATCAACTGTATCCCGGAAGGCTGGAAAGAGCTGCTGAAGGGAACCCCAACATGGAAAATTCGGATACAGGAACAACCTCCCGTGAGAGCATACCAGTTCTCCCACAAACAACAGGGATTGAATACCGTTGCGGTGTTCTACATCCTACCCAATCGTGACATCAGCTCACGGCTCGGCATCTATCTTGGACAAAGATGTGGAAAGAACAAGCTTAGACATTTTCCTCTTCAGGAAAGTGAGAGCCACGCGTTCCTGGCCCAAATCAATCTTCAGAATAGACACTCGATCCAAGACCTGGAATTCGACCCAGCAGAATGGGCCTGGACATCTGGGAGGAATAAAAATATCAACGCTGACATCCAGGACTACTCAGTCAACATGGGGTACGAGTTATTCCTTAAGACTAAAGACCCGGAACCCGTAATCAGAAGTAGATGGTCAAAATTAATCGAACAAGAGGCAGACCGTATCTCACAAATCCCATGGAAGAAGTTCAAATCAATCAGACCTGTTAAAATTAGGAGACTCCAATGGCTTATCGCATGCGCGGCACTACCGGTTAACCAATGGCTCTGCAAGTGAAGACGAGGAAGTGATCCTAACAGTTCGGACCTATGCACAGTCTGCTCAGATAACAAGCCAGAAAAAATTCACTGCCTAATTCGCTGTAAGGAAGCTACAGAATATTGGGCCAGGGCCTCGGACCTCTGGGACTCCCTGTACACTATGCAGATGGCTCTCCATGCCTGAGGATGAAAACAGCGCAGTGTCCTCTCCAAGTTTGTCAACGTCTGGCTGGCGGAGGGGGAAATAGCAGAGATAAGAGACTCCAACTTACGAT